ATTTGTTTTAACTACCTTTTCATTGTAAGACCCTGTATCTACATAACGTGGCAGCAGTTGTCCAATGATGACTAACTTAACGCTTGGGAAACTGATCAAGTCCTCAGCAAATTTCAATACCTCCTGTGCAGTTCCTAAGGGATCTGCATATTTCTTAGCCAAATCGTTGCCTCCTATTTGAAGGTATACTACATCTGGGTTATAGCTAGCTAACATATGCATTTCATTTCTAAGAGACTTAGGGCCCTTACTAATTACACCTCCCCCTATGCCATGACAGACAACTTGTACACTAGTCCCATCAAAACCCAGATTAAAATATTCTTCTTGCAGATTTTCTACAGTTTGCCCTAACCTACGAATGTATGAGTGACCCAGTGCTAAAACCTTGTGAACCATTCTGAATAATGCGAGACAAGTCAAGTTCTGTGTAAACTGAATGCAAAATTCACGAAATACTGCAATAGCTTAAACTTTGAGCTTAAATACTCAAACAGATTCTAAAATTTAGGTACTCACCCTTGTTGTGGATTTGATGAACTGGTGATCGCCTCTTTATGGTACACTTGTGTTTTGTTTGATATTCCTTGTGGCACTGAGAAACTTCGAGAAACTTTGAGAAACTTTATGAAATTTACTAAAAACTCTTCTCTCCTGAGCATGTACTGCTAGGTTAAAATTTTCTAAGGAAGTGAGAGAGAGTGTTCTTTGTTCTTGGTGAAGCTGAACTCCTTATGATTCTGATTGGCTGATCATAATGAGACTAGGTTGTACTGTCCAATCAGGTTTTGCCATACTGGTATCTGACCAGTGTCACTTGGTAGTAATTAACTTAACAGCGTGAAATACAAAGCCAAGACATCTTGTCTGTAATTAAGGAAGAAACATCTGGAGCTTATCTTAGTCTCTGGGAGTTTCCCTGGGCATCTTACATCACATTAATACCCTCATCACACATAAATCCCTTTATTGTGGCCAATAAATTATATTTATTGGTTGATCCAAGTGGTATGGACGGTTGGAGGGTGCAAGAAGCCATTTTTCGCGGAGGAGCTTCAATAATCTAGGATCGGTTGCATTCATTCTCTTTGATCCCAGGTCCTCGATCATGTCTACACTTGTCAGTTGGCCATCACCTCGAAGAACGCCGGATTCGTCGCCAAGCCTAGCTTGAGAGTAAACACTCGGCACCCCGAACTGCCATTCTCCAACGATCCGTGTGATATCCGGAAACAATAAGAAAGAAATGACTAGTAGTGTCCCAATAATCAGTGTACTTACTTTCAACGCACCACCAATCTTTGACGGTAGTACAAGTCTCCAAATATACATTGTGTAGATAATTTAAACCACTTTTGCTGATCTGCCACGCATTTGCTTTTAATCCATTATAATGCCGGTACATGTATATGACTAGAAAAAAATTCCTTTTCACTGCTAATAAATTATGAACTGACGTTGTATAGGTTGACCACATGCTGTCATTTTCTATTTTTATCATTAGAATGCTATATTTGAGACGGTTATTTATATTTGTATGATGAAATTATACATTTGCATGGAAATAAAACAACTACTGTATAATATTTCCTTTGGCTCGAAAAGCGTAAGGCTAAACATATAACTAAAAAACGAATATCATGTTATTCCCAATTTTCAAGGTTAGATTAGTTTGTTGTGCAAATGAGTCACGTATATAAACTCAACTGTATTAAACTTAAAGAATTATGCCGTGGAATGAAAACGTGATGTCGCACGTTAATGTTTTTTTTTTTTTTTTTTACTAATTTAAACCTTATCAAGTTTGTAATATATTGCACTATACGAAATACCGGTGCGACAGGAATGTTTGTCCGCTAGGGACTGTAGTCCAGTCCCCATCACTTACGCTAGGTTCTAGATTTCTGTATTGCCAGCGCGATCTTGATTTCATATATAACCCATATCAGCACTGTAAAACTATCACATGAAAAGTGTAGTGAGCAAGCTAGCTTTATAGTGCCCTGACACTCAGGGCACCATCACTTGGTCTAGTTGACATTCGTCCCATCTACGTATAGGGCCATTGATGGACTGCATTGCCCAGTCAAACGTGATGTCACAATTATAATAGCTTCTGGTAGAAGGGATTTTAAAGGGATAACAACTGTGCACATGAGATTCATATTTTCCCAATAAATACATTGTAAACGAGCAATAGAAATCCAATTAATTCCATTTTAACACCAAAACATAGTTATCACAATTATTCTGGAATCTGTGCTTGCCATCACACCTGGTGAACCTTCATAGATGGCGTTTCCTCCGTAATAATCTCTTACAAAAACCAAACCTTTATGAAAAAAAACGACCATCTTTGGATGTCGTAACGGATTCATTGGTAAGTAGAAAAAACGTCGTTTGTTCCAGGAAAATCCTTTTTTGGCCAAAACTAACAGTTCTTTAAAGTAGAATAGATAGCTACTTTTGGTACAAATTACCTTTTGAAATACAATCACTTCGAAGCTGCATTTGAAAGCGGAATTTACTTAGTAGTGAAAGATAAAGTATTGAAAAAAAAAAACAAATTATATTTTAAAATGAAATAAATAGTTGATTTATAACCCCATTTAGTAATATATGTCTGGTTTCTGTTGGAAACCTTTTGGGGTTTAACAAATTGAATAATTACCATTTCAGATAGTAGATGGGTACAATGACAAATGAAGTACGTGATTAGTCTACAATAGTGGTACGAATCAAGAACAGCGACATTTGATATGCAAGGGTGTAAATTTCTATGGTAATTTGCAGTCTTTTTTGATAATTTCAGGTTCCCCATGCAACGGTTTTGAATTTTTATTGTTTTGATGATGACAACTTGAGAAAATGCATGTATGATTATCCAGAAAGTAGAGAAGGAAGTCCCCAATGTCCCCTTAAACTCGAGGTTTGACTTGAACTTGACACAGTTTATACAGGCAATGTTTGAATTCAGGTTTGTGGTGACCACATCAGCAACACCTTCGTTACTAGGCCAGTATCTCCTTTCGAGCAAATAGTATATCCTGTTTTAATCCAGGAGTATCTATCTCTTGGTACACCCCTGTGTTTTGGAAGATCTTCCTGATTTCTGTCTTGCGCCGGACCTCCTCTGTTCCTCCCCTTGCATGGACCACCCCGTACTCCACAGTCCACGTGTCCACCATGATTTCTTTCCAAGGGAATGTCTTGAGAATCTCCACCTCGGCCCCCTCGACGTCCAGGGAGAAGTAGTCCACGTGGTTGACGCCCAGTGCGGCCAGGATGGAATGTATTGGGAAACATTGTGCTAGTCCTTTGCCTTTTCCGCTTGGAAACTTGCGGCCCATGTCACTGATGCCACCTAACCCTTCGACATAGTTAAATTCCATTCGCACTGGGTGCGGTATCGGAGACAGGCAAGCGTTGATGATATTTGTTTTCCTGTATTAAAAATAAAATATCAAAAATAAACAATAAGATTAAAGTGATGTGAAACTAAAGACAAAACATAATTGTAACTGCACATGAAGGAAGCAGGAACCATTTAAAATGGATGTGGGGCCAGTGGAGACAATATTTCCGATATATAGTAAAACAAATATGAACTTTTTATGTCATGTACTTTACTATTTTTGCCCGAGAAAAAAAATTATGACTCAGACTTTGAACCTTACATTCTCCAGAGACAGTTTTGTGTACGCCAATGCAAAAACGTCCGGTGTTCTTGTTGCAAAAAGGATAAGAATTCTAATTATCTCATCATAAATACATGTATAAAAGAATGTCTTTTAAGAAATCTTTAAAAAAATCCAGGTCTGTCATTCATTTAAGTTTTAAAAAGTTCAGCTAGTCAAATTAAATAATTGGGTATATTATAACCTTTTCAGAGGTGTATACCAAGAAAAAACGAAACTAATCATGTTTTTAGTTCCTAAAAATTGCCAAAACTATCAAATCAGCAAAACACTCTAGGGATTTCTATCTTTCTCCACATTGAGGGGATTTTTTACGATCCAGTCTAACACCAAGACTTAAGTCATTTGATTTTACACCATAATATGTTTATTTCATTTTAATACACTAATGTGTAATGTTTGTCCTTTAGGCAGCAAAATGCAAATTTTTATACTTCCCTTGCAAAATATGTCACCCTCAGTGATACAGAAAATCATGCCATAAAGCGTGTTCTTCTTTCACTTGTGAAAGGATTTTTTCACAAAAATTTACTGATTGTACAACCAATGAATAAAAAAATACATAGTGAATATCAAAGGCACGTTTTTGTATTTGGTTCAGTATCCTCTGGATTAGAGAACGCATTTGTCACATCTGTGCGTGGAGTCAAAAAGTTCTCTAGCGTTTTCACAGTCGTTTTGTCCACATAAGTAAGTGATGCCGTTCCAAACACGGTTCAAAGATAGCAAGAGATCATTTTTAATCGCAGAGTTATCCCTCAATTATCCATATCCGAGGATATACTACTCATTCTTAATGTGGTTCTGAGCGGTTGAGCGATTTGGTGGTGGCGGGGGAGAGATCTAAGTCTGGTAACGCATATAACCAGCTTAATATTACATTGGCTTTACGTGGAGTAGCATTATCATTCTGTAACAGTAAGTTCACATGACTCATGTCAAACTCCTGGTTTAAACTGTTTTAACTGGTTTTTCAAAATCACTTCTACCTTGTTAAGTTCATACATACCTGTGAAAAACAATGGAATAAGCTTGTATCTATGTTATTAATGAAAAAAAAAAAAAAAAAAAAAAACAAGAAGAAAACATAAAACAAAATGCCCTGAAAAATCAAAAATGTTTATGAAAATTCAGATCTTGGGATTTTAAACATCGGTCAGTTTATTTTCCCTTTGATTTAAACCTCTGAACAGAGTTGATTATATCATGACAATAAGAAAATGTCAAAAAATAGTGCTTGGATACCTAATGAAGTATTCAAGTTTTTAAGCATGAAATAAACTTATTTTGATGAAAAATTGGATGATTTTTGTTTTGGTGTTAGATTAGATCGTACAATATACAGTAAATATGAAGTTCTGAAACAGTTTTATTCTCTGATATACTCTTCTAAATAGATTTAAATATGAAGTTCTGAACCAGTTTTATTCTCTGATATACTCTTCTAAATAGATTACTATGCAAGCTACACAAAAATATTAACGTTGACAAGCTGAATCTTTTTTATTCGAATGAAAGACAGATATAGATTTCTACAGAAAACACTGTACAAATTCGTTTCATATAAAAGATGACATTATTATATAATCATCCATTTTGCATTTTACTACAAAAGGGAAACAAACTGATGGATCAGCAACTGTCCTTGAAAAATAGCAATCCATTAAAAGAAAATCAGCGAGCAATATCACCTGTTCATACAGTGGATTATATATCATATCATTGAGATACCAAGACTTTCATTACATAATAGGCTAATAAATAACTTAGCACACAGAAGTAGGCCTGCGTGACAGATGTTTGGTAGTTGGAAACTAAATGATATCGAAAGAAAACCCGCCTACCTGTGTTTCTTGGTCATCTTATCAAATTCCCATGGGTTTGCTTCTACGAGTACTCCCGTCCAATTCCGAAATCTCTCAAAAAACAACGAGTTAGATATACGTTCACCATCCGCGGCTCCCGCCTCGACAAAGAAACCGTTTTTTCTTTGCTTCAGTAGCTTATCAATTGCTTTTGATTGCCCAACCTGAGACATATGTACTTTTTGTGGTTCAGCCAAGTGGTAGGGACGTTTGGAGGGTGCAAGAAGCCATTTTTCGCGGAGGAGCTTCAATAATCTAGGGTCGGTTGCATTCATTCTCTTTGATCCCAGGTCCTCGATCATGTCTACACTTGACAGTTGGCCATCACCTCGAAGAACTCTGAGTTCCTCGCCATGCCTAGCTTGAGGGTAATCAGTCGGCACCCCGAACCGCCATTTCTTTAGGTTGGTTTCTCCAAAGATCCGTGTGATATCCGGAAACAATAACAAAGAAATGACTAGTAGTGCCCCAACAATCAGTGTACTTATTTTCAACGCACCACCAATCTTTGACGGTAGTACATGTACACATCTTAAAACATGCATTGTGCAGATAATTCGATTTCTCACTTTCGCTGATCTGACACGTATTTGCTTTCAATCTAATATAATGCCGGTATATGACTTGGATCGAAAAGAGAAATATTTCCTTTTTCACTGCTAATTAATTATGAGCTGACGTTGTATGCTGTCATTTCCCATAATGTAATATTTGAGACGGTTATTTATATTTGTTACGTATGGTCTATGTTATCTTTTACCACATATTTAGTGTTGAGAGGTGTGTGGCGTGTCTTTTTAGAATTTACTTATTTTGAATGAAAAATTGTCATATTTATTTGAACTGAAAAAGCGATTACGTTCAGAAAGAAGGGCATAAGTCTGTTGCAACATAAATTATGTTTTAAAATACAATTATATATATATATGAAATTATACATTTGCATGGAAATAAAACAAATACTGTATAACATTTTCCTTTGACTCGAAAATCGTAATGCTAAACATATAATTTTAAAAACACGAATATCACGTTATTCCCAATTTTCAATCCAAGATTAGTTTGTTGTGCAAATAAGAAACGTTTATATATATACTCAATTAGATTAAACTTGAAGAAATCGTGGAATGAAAACGTGATGTCGCACGTTAATGTTTTTTTTACTTTTGTTTATTTATAACTTATCAAGTTTGATATATTCCACTAGACGAAATACGGTGCGACGGGAATTTTTGTCTGCTAGGAACCGTAGTCCAGTGCCCATTACTTGGTCTTGGTGACATAGCTGCCTGAGTGATGGTCTCTAAAACTAATCTGAATAAGAATGCAGCCTGACATGACACGAAGCCACTAAAATATCGCAACAAACGCATTTTGCAATTGCTTCTCTAAAGTACGCTCATGTTTGGTCCACATAATGATTATGCGTGGTAATTCTTAAAAGCCAATACGCCGCCTCCGTTTGCAGTATTATTGTAAATTGCAGAACAACATGAAGAAGGGGAGAATGACATGGGAGTTCCATTGAGTCTTTAAAGAAAGAAGACAAAGTTTGCTTTGGCTTTAATTTCCGGATTAATTGTCATTAAATGTTATAAAATCAATTAACTAGATGACATTTATCTTGAAAATTGGTTTTGATAAATAAATAAACAAGGGCATGAAGGTTAGATGGTCGTTCTTTCTTTTGGAATTTTATTCTATTAAATTATCCACGGTTAATTTTCAAGCGGCTTATCATTTTGCAACTCCCATTCTGTCCTCTCTCAGCCCGTTTTTTTAAACACGTTGGCACTCAGGGCTCCGTAACTCGAAAGCATCGCGAATTGCGACCGAGCGCAAGCGTCTCTATTCCATAACTCGGTATTTACTCGCTTTCGAGTTACGGAGCCCAGATTTCATTTATAATGATAGTTTTGTAGGTGGAGAGGCACAATATGCCCTGCATGTGTAAATGTGATATATTTCTCATCCATTTGCACCCATTCAGGTGGGGGTAGACTTTGTTGGCCTGCAGCATTCCACAGTAGAAATACACACCAAATACCCAGTAAGTGTAGCAAGAGGTTGAACTGTGTTCGCGGAAGGTTGTTTCTTTCCAAAAGCGTTTGATAAATGTGTGATGTTCTTTAAGATGTTCTTAGATTCAAACCAACAAGACACCAAGTCTGATTTCCCAGCACCATACTTTATTTTTCAAGTCTCCAGTATTCTCCCGAGATCTCAACAAATACAACACTGATATTCTCTAACACAATACTGAGCTACTGCACATTTACTACAAAATGCACTTGCCAATAAAACTACCGTACGATACAAAGAAAAAAGTAATATGATTTCATATTTGGTTATCTATATGCGTCAATGCAAAAAGATATAGGGCCATTGACGGCAGTGAACAGTCAAACATGATGTCACAATTATAATCGCTTCTGATATAAGGGATTTTAAAGGGATAGCAACTGTGCATATGCGGTACATATTTTCCAAAAACAAAAAAATGCCTTGTAAACAACCAACAGAAATATAATAAAGTCCATTTTACCATCAAAGCAGCGGTTATCATAATTATTTTGGAATATGTTTTTGTCATCAGATCACGTGGACCCTCATAGATAGCTATTCCCCTGTAATAACCTCTTCAGAGATTATTACAAAAAACAAAGTTAAAAAACATATGGACCAACTTTGGATGTCGTAACGGATTCATCAATCATTGGTAAGTAGAAAAAGAAACGTCGTTTGTTCCAGGAAAATTCTTTTTTGCCCAAAACGAACAGTTGTTATCCCTTTAAAGTAGAATAGATAGCTACTTTTCTTGGTAAAAATTACCTTTTAAAATACATTCACTTCGAAGCTGCATTTGAAAGTGGAATTTACTTAGTAGTGAAAGTAAACGTATTACAAAGAACCAAATCATATCTGATAAATGAAATAAATAAACGATTTATAACCCCTTTTAGTAATATGTCTGATTACTGTTGGATACCCTTTTTTTTAATTTAAAAATTAACAAATGGAATAATTATCATTTCAAACAGAAGCTGAGTGCGCACAAACGAATGTAGTGCGTTATTAGTTTGAAATAGTGGTACGAACCAAGAACAATGACCTTTTATATACACGGGTGTAAATTTCTAGGGCAATTTTCGGTCATTTTGGTTATTTCGGATTCCCTATGCAATGGTTTTAAACTTTTGGCACAGGGGCGGTATGATGATGATAACTTGAGAAAATGCATGTATGATAATCCAAAGTGGGATTTGACTAGAACGTGACCCAGTCAAACCCCGAAATCAGACAAGCAAAGTTTATACAAGCGATATTTGATTTCAGCTTTGGGGATGGCTGTATCAACAATGCCTTCCTTACTAGATCAGTATCTTCTTTCGAGCAAATAGTAAATCTTGTTTTAATCCAGGAGCATCCATCTCTTGGTACAACCCTGTGTTTTGGAAGATCTTCCTGATTTCTGACATGCGCCGGGCCTCCTCCTTTCCTCCCCTTGCATAGTAGACCCCGAACTCCACAGTCCACGTGTCCACCATGATTTCTTTCCAAGGGAATGTCTGGAGAATCTCCACTTCGGCCCCTTCGACGTCCAGGGAGAAGTAGTCCACGTGGTTGACGCCCAGTGCGGCCAGGATGGAATGTATTGGGAAACATTGTGCAAGTCCTTTGCCTTTTCCTCTGTCTGGAAACTTGTGGCCCATTTCACTGATGCCACCATAAAAATTAGCATAGTTGAATGCCATTCGCACTGGTTGCGTTATCGGAGACAGGCAAGCGTTGATGATATTTGATTTCCTGTATTAAAAATAAAATAAGAAAAATATCAATAACTAGAATAAAGTGATAGGAAACTAAAGGGAAAATTAATTGGCACTGCACATAAAGGAAGCGGGAACCATTTGGAAATTGAAGATGGATGCTGGACCAGTGGAGACAATATTTCCGATATATAAGAAAACAAATATGAACTGTCATAAACCATACCATTTGTTCCGAGAAATAATTATGTAGATCCGTGAACCTTACATTCTCTCGGAACAAACGATTTTATGTACGCCAATGCAAAGTAGTCAATATTTGCATTATACCTAAAAGTTAGGGTACAGTAATCACAATTCTTTTTTTAGGTCACACAAAAAGCCAAACACTACCTTTCATTTCGCGAAAGCTAGAATTTTCAGAGATAATTAAACTGGTGACATTAACTGCCAGTACCTTGTACACAGTAGCTGAGTTGATTAAGTGAACTGCACCGTTGATGACAAGAGCTTTTGTTAGACTAGATCGCAAAATACCCAATAAATGTGGAGAAATGATTGTAATCCCTAGAGGGTTTTGGCAAAATTTTATAAGGGCTTTTATACATAGTTCTCAATCAGTTTTATTCTTTGATATACTCCTTCTGAATAAATGTACAGTACTATACAAAATATTGATTTGGTTAGCTGAACCTTTTTAATTCGATTGAATCAAAGATTTAGATATCTTTAAAAAAACTTTACAAAACCCTTTATATAAAATATGACATTATTATACAATCATCCTTTTGCATTTTCACTAGCTAAAGAAAACAAACTGATGGATCAGCAACTGTCCTTGAACAATCGCGATCCGTCAAAGGAGAATTAGTGAGAAACCGCACCTGTGCCATACAGTGTTTTATATGTTATATTATTCAGAAATGAATAGGCTGATGAATAATCTAGCACACATAAGTGGGTTTGTGTGACAGATGTTTGGCTGTTGGAAACAATGTGATCTCGAAAGAAACCCCACCTACATGTGTTTTTTGGTCATTATATCAAACTCCCATGGGTTTGCTTCCACGAGTACTCCCGTCCAGTTACGAAATCTCTCAAAGAACAACGAGTTAGATATACGTTCACCATCTGCAGCTCCCGCCTCGACAAAGAAACCATTTTTTCTCTGCTTCAGTAGATTATCAATTACCTGTGATTGCCCAAGCTGAGACGCGTGTATTTTTTTTTTTTTTTTTTTTTTTTTGGTTTATCTAAGTGGTATGGACGGTTGGAGGGTGCAAGAAGCCATTTTTCGCGGAGGAGCTTCAATAATCTAGGGTCGGTTGCATTCATTCTCTTTGATCCCAGGTCCTCGATCATGTCTGCACTTGTCAGTGGGCCATCAACTCGAAAAACGCCGGATACCTCACCATGCCTAGCTTGAGAGTAAACAGTCGGCAGCCCGAACTGCCATTTCTTTGGGCTGGTATCTCGAACGATCCGTGTGATATCCGGAAACAATAAGAAAGAAATGACAAGTAGTGCCCCAACAATTAGTATACCTATTTTCAACGCACCGCGAATCTTTGGAGCTAAGTCACGACTCAAAACATCCATTGTGCGGATAATTTGAACCCTTGGTTTTGCAGACCTGCCACGTATTTGATTTGAATTTTATATAATGCCAGTATATGGCTTGGATCGAAAATAAGCATTTTCTTGTCGTTGCTAATAAATTATAAGCTGATGTTGGATCGGTTGACAACATGCAATCATATTCCTTTTTGACATTAAAGTTTAACATTTAAGACGGATATTTGTATTTTTGTTGTTTTGTATACGTATAGTCTATGTAACGTATTTCCACATATATAATGTTGAAATGTCTGTACAGCTTTTTTTAAAGAGTAATGCTCAACATATTATTTAAAAAATTCGAATATCTGATTATCATATTATTCCCAATTTTCAATCCGAGATTAGTTTGGTGTGCAAGTAAGAAACGTATATAAAATTAATTAAACTAAACTTAAGGAAATCTTGGGATGAAAACGTGATTTTTTCCATATTTCAATCTAATCAAGTTTGCAATATATCCCACTAGATGATATACCGGTGTGACGGGAATGGTTGTCCTCTAGGAACCATAATCCGGTCCCCATTACTTGGTACAGGCTGTATTCAGCCCATATACCAGTACTAAGCAAACTGCTCCGACTAAACCCTAACCAGTACTAATCATATGGGACCTCGGACTTTCCTACGACTACCATCCCTTTCATATCGGTTCACTCCTTCTTTTGGAAATGTGCTGCAAAGCATGCGGGACACGGGCCGGTTGTGCCTGCAAAAAGTGCTTAGTCGGACGTTGTTTTCTCCTCGTCTGCCGCCATTTTTCCTTGCCGTCCTAGCTGCCTGGGTGATTGTCACTTAAAACTAATCTGAATAAAAATGCAGCCTGACATGACACGACGCCACTCAAATATCGCGACAAATGCATTTTGCAATTGCTTCTCTAAAGCAGGCTCAGGTTCGGTCCACGTGCGAGGAAATTCTTAAAAGTCAATATCCAGCCTCAGTTTGCAGTATTATTGTGAATTGCAGAACAACATTAGGAAAAGAATACCGATATGGGGATTCCACTGGGTCATTAAAGTAGGAAGCAAAAGTTTTTGGCTTTCAGAGTTAATTGTCATTTAAAAGAAAATTGGTAAAACATCCATTAACTAGATGTTATTCGGTTTGTGATTTTATTATCATAAAAACACAATACGGATCAAAATGCAGGCCCGTAGGAAGGAGGTTTAAAGAAACGCCCATTCGGTGGGAAAATCCGTTTTGAATAAAAATTCTCTGTCATTTTTAAGAGCGCTTTGTAGGACAAGTTCCGTATTTAAATACTTTAAAATCCCATATATGAACTTTAGACATATATGCTGTGGGAAAACAGGGACATAGAATTCCGCACAGAAGTATATAATGACCAAGGGTGTGCCATGTGGAACTCAAACATTCATCTTGAAAATTCGTTTCGATAAGAAGTTGAATAAAGAGCAAACCTAAAGCTTAGAATAGGCATTAAGGTTAGATTGTAGAAGATATACTCAGATTCCGTCAATATAAGCTTTTTCCACTTCATTTGGAATCTCAAAAAGATCTACTCAACTGAATTATTATCGGTTGATTTTGAAGCAGCTTATCACTTTGCACCCCCTATCGTGGCCTCTCCCCGCCCGTTTTTATTTTATTTTTTATTTTTTTTTTTAACACTTCATTTATAGTGATATAGTGTCGTGGACGGAGAGGCATAATATGGCCTGTGTATGTGTAAATGCGATGTATTTCTCATCCATTTGCTCCAATTCAGATAAGGGTAGACCTTATTGGTCTGCAGCTTTTTACAGTAGAAATAAGCACTCTGTACCCGGTTAGTGTTGCAACATGTTGAACTGTGTTTGCAGAAGGTTACTTCCTTTCAAATGCGTTTAATGGTCATCTTTGCACGCTCAAATAATCTGATTGAAGACACCCAGGAATAAAAAAAAATTACAAAGAATAAAGAAATATGAGTCCATGTTTGGAAACATATATGCGACAATGCAAACATTAGGGCCATTTAGGTCCATTGATGGACTGCAGTGTCCAGTCAAACATGATCAGGCCTACCCAACTACCAGACTCGGCACTTAAGTATCCTGAATTAACCGGTATATCGGACCAACCTACCCGTTTTCAAGGTGTGTGTCAGATAGCATTTCGGAGTATCATACCCCAGAACAAATTTTGTAGGACGACTGCGAGCTCATCCACGCTCGGCTGAACAACCTTAAACAGTACTCTTACTTTAGAGTACTCTATTTCATCGTCTCTATGGGGGTATATGGGGACTTTACGACATTCGGTTTGAATGTTTTAACCACTTTTGATAGGGCTTTTTTTTTGCATTGTATTAGATGAATGTGGCAGTCTAAGGTTCATCTAGGTGGCTTTCAAATTTATGCACCCGGTTTTAAAATCATATAGCGATTAAATACGACAATCGTTTACTATCCAATCAAGGTGACAGCCGAGCGAGAGCTCATCCTGTCGGTGTTCTGACTGATACTCCGAAATGCGATCTGACACGCACCTTGAAAACGGGTAGTGTGGTCCTATATACCGGTTAATTCAGGATCCTTAGGTGCCGAGTCTGGTAGTTGGTTAGGCCTGATGATGCCACAATCATAATATCTTCTGGTATAAGGGACTTTAAAGGGATAACAACTGTGCATATTTGATTAATTTGCCAATAGATATATTGTAAATAACTAATGGAAATATAATGCAATCCATTTAAAGCAATAATAACTCTTCCTTTGAGATTCAAAATTCCGCAAGAAATACATTGTAAACAACGCCTGGAAATATATTGTATTGCATTTTCCCACTAAAACGACTGCTATTGTAGTAAAACTAAAATCTGTGCTTGTCACTTGGGCTTTCGATGCCTTTCTTCACGGTCGACAAGTGCATCCGTTGCCAATTACGTTTAGGTGTCACGCGGATTCTCGCGTTCATTCGAGACCAAAATAACATGGCGGGAAACCCTCAGACGTACGTCGCGAGTTTTTGTACAGTGCGTCGGATAACGAAAAGCCCAGAATTGCACACATTGTAGATATAAATGCATTTTGAGCAATAAGACGAATATATCTTATGAATCTTATAATATTGTTATATAGTGTTGTTGTTGTCTGCTTTTCCCGCGGTTTTAAGTAGGTCACCAGAAACTATCGCTCGATATCGCGTGACTATATCATGTCAGAGAGAGGGCTCCGTCAGTTAAAATCTCTTAAGAGAAACGAAGAGTTATTATGACTTTAACCACCAATACAGCGGTTATCACAATCAATCTGGAATCTGCACTTGCCATCTGACCACGTGGATCTTCATAGATAGCTATACTTCCGTAATAATCTGTTAAAAGATTATTGAAAAAAACTTTAGGAAAAAACATGGACTTATTTTGAATGTCGGAACGGATTAAGTGACTTTTCGTAAGTATGGGGAAATCGTCGTTTACCCTAGGAAATCCATTTATTGCCAAAACGAACAGTTATTATCCCTTTTAAGTAGAATAGATATTTACTTTAATTTATCAAAATTACTATTTGAAATACATTCACTCCGAAGTTGCATTTGAAAGTGGTATTTATTTTGTACTGTAAGACAACGCATTGAAAAGGAGACAAATTGACTTTGAAAAGTTAAATAGATAAATGATTTATAATCCCATTCATTAATATATGTCTTCGTACTGTTGGAGACCTTTTTGGATTTAACAAATTGAATAATTATCATTACAAACAGCAGATGTGTGCACATTAACGAAAGTAGTGTATCATTAGCCTGACACAGTGGTACGAATCAAGAACAAGGCCATTTTATATGCACGAGTGTGAATTTCTATGGTAATTTGAGGTCATTTTGGATATTTCAGGTTTCCCATGCAAGGGTTTTGGACTTTTGGTGCGTTACTGACAATGATAACTTGTGAAATTGCATGTATGATAATCGAAAGTAGAGAACGAAGTTCCCAACGTCCCCTGAATCTCGGAGTTTGACTTGAACTCGTCATGACGTGATCAGACAACCGAAGTTTATATAGGAGATGTTTGAGTTCAGCTTTAGGGATGATCAAGTCAGCAACGCCTTCTTTACAAGGCCATTATCTCCTTTCGAGCGAATAGAAAATCAAATTTTAATCCAGGAGCATTTATCTCTTGGTACACCCCTGTGTTTTGGAAGATCTTCCTGATTTCTGACATGCGTCGGGCCTCCTCTTTTCCTCCCGTAGCATAGAAGACCCCGTACTCTACAGTCCACACGTCCACAATGATATCTTTCCAAGGGAATGTCTTGAGAATCTCCATTTCGGCCCCCTCGACGTCCAGGGAGAAGTAATCCACGTGGCTGACGCCCAGTGCGGCCAGGATGGAATGTATTGGGAAACACTGTGCTAGTCCTTTGCCTTTTCCCCTGCGTGGAAACTTGTGGCCCATATCAGTGATGCCACCAAAAAAATCGGCATAGTTAAATTCTATTCGGACTGGGTGCGGTATTGGGGACAGGCAAGCGTTGATGACATTGGATTTCCTGTTTTGAAAATAAAATATCAAAAATAAACAATAAGAATAAACTGATGTCAAACTAAAGATAAAATAACTTTGCTGTTGCACATAAAAGAAGCAGGGACCATTTGGAAATTAATTGTGGATGCTTGGCCAGTGGAGACAAATGTCCGATATATTATAAATAATAATAATAAAACCAATATGAACTATTTTTTATGTCATAAACCCATATGTCCTGAGAAAAAACTCACGTTGACCACTGCCAGCTCGCCTACACCATAGTAGCCAACACACCCTATACATGTCTATACCCTATACATGGTGGGTGCGTCCTGTCGACCAGAGGCAGAGAACTGGGAATATACTTCTTACCAGCTGTTCTTTAAACACTATGCTTCCATACATTCTGACGCTATATCTGTTTTCATCTGAGAACAGTATCAATGCCCAGTGATTGACTGGTGTCCATGCCAGAGTTCAAATATACCATTTGTTCCTTGTGATCACTGGTTTCCTAACAGAAAGCCTGCCAAAATAACTTCGATTTTGCAGAGTTTTCTGACGGTTAACTGGGAGACATGGTTTTACCCTGTTCTTGTTAAATGTTAAACCAACCTTCTGGCAATTCAACGGGTCAAGACACCCGCCTATGTCAACCACTTGGTACCATGTATCCTTATCACTTATATAGGACCCGCATATTAAAAACAATTGGTGTTGGAGTGCTTCAGTGGTTACGCTGGGTATGTTAATGATCGTCTACTCACATCAGGGGCGTAACCAGACATTTTAAAATTGTACGCACAGATTTTCAAAATTCCCAGGTACAGCGAAATGTAGACACAGATGAAGAGCAGATTAATTTAGTTTTCACTAGTAATCAAATCATCACTAAAAGTTTTTAAAAATTCCTGCAATTTAATGAAGCTCCAGTATATTATTCCACCCAAAACTATATATTTATTTAACTAGGGCCTCACTACATAAACTTTGGGCACTTATGCAGGTTATACCTACTTGTATCGAGCTCAATTCTGAATTATGTCGGTGCGGTACTGTTATTCGATTTGGTTTGCGGCATTTATCTTGAGTTGTCAGACAAGAACGTGAAGAACAGTTGATCGTTGTTATTATTATACCCTTATTATACCCTTTTGCTATCCATGGTAAGCTGAATGATCAATTTACTAAGAGTTGAACTTATATATGGTATCATCGAGGTTACATGTAGGTGCATGGCTCCACAAATCAACCAATTACTAGCATATTACAGGATAGAGATCTGATACATGTATAAATAATTTAAATTATTTTGACACGGATAACATATTATATTATTCAGAAATCAAGACTTTTTGTTACATAAGTAGGCTTTTGAGACAGATGTTTGGTAGTTGGAAACAGTGTAGTCTCGAAAGAAAACCCAATTACCTGTGTTTTTTGGCCATCTTATCAAAGGCCCATGGGTTTGCTTCAACAAGTACTCCCGTCCAGTTCCGAAATCTCTCAAAAAACAAGGAGTTAGATATAAGTTCACCATCCGCGGCTCCCGCCTCGACAAAGAAACCGTTTTTTCTCTGTTTCAGTAGCTTATCTATTGCCTGTGATTGCCCAACCTGAGAAGTGTGTATTTTTTGTGGTTTATCTAAGTGGTATGGACGGCTGGAGGGTGCAAGAAGCCATTTTTCGCGGAGGAGCTTCAATAATCTAGGGTCGGTTGCATTCATTCTCTTTGATCCCAGGTCCTCGATCATGTCTACACTTGACAGTTGGCCATCACCTCGAAGAACGCCGGGTTCCTCGCCATGCCTAGCTTGAGAGTAAACAGTCGGCACCCTGAACTGCCATTTCTTTGGGTTGGTTTCTCCAACGATCCGTGTGATACCCGGAAACAATAAGAAAGAAATGACTAGTAGTGCCCCAATAATCAGTGTACTTATTTTCAACTCACCACCAATTTTTGACGGTAGTTCATGTATACATCTTAAAACATGCATTGTGCAGATAATTCGATCATTCACTTTTGCTGCTCTGCCACGTATTTGCTTTTAATCCAATATAATGCCGGTATATGACTTGGATCGAAAAGAAAAACATTTCCATTCACTGCTAATAAATCATGAGCTGACGTTGTATGCTGTATGGGTCATGAAGTACGCGAAAGCTAGAATCTTCAGAGATAATTTAACTGGTGACATTAACTGCCAGTACCTTGTACACAGTAGCTGAGTTGATTAAGTGAACTGCATCGTTAACAGCAAGAACTGTTGTTAGACTAGATTGCAAAATACCCAATAAATGTGGAGAAATAATTGTAATCCCTAGCGTTTTGGCAAAATTTTATGAGGGCTTTTATACATAGTTCTGAATCAGTTTCATTCTTTGATATACTCTGAATAGATGTACATTACTATACAAAATATTGATTTGGCTAGCTGAACCTTTTTAATTCGATTGAATCAAAGATTAAGATTTCTTTAAAAAACTTAACAAAACCTTTTTTATATAAAATATGACATTACTATATAATCATCCTTTTGCATTTTCAAAAAAAGAAAGAAAAACTGATCGATCAGCAACTGTCCTTGAACAATCGCCATCCGTCAAAGGAGAATTGGTTAGAAACCGCACCACTGCCATACAGTGAATTATGTAATATTATTCAGAAATTAATAGGCTGATAAATAATCTAGCACACATAAGTGGGTTTGTGTGACAGATGTTTGGGTGTTGGAAACAATGTGATCTCGAAATAAACCCACCTACCTGTGTTTCTTGGTCATCTTCTCAAAGGCCCATGGGTTTGCTTCTACGAGTACTCCCGTCCAGTTCCGATATCTCTCAAAAAACAACGAGTTAGATATACGTTCACCATCCCCGGCTCACGCCTCAACAAAGAACCCTTCTTTTCTCTGTTTCAGTAGATTATCAATTGCTTGTGATTGCCCAAGCTGAGATGTGTGTAATTTTTTTGGTTTATCTAAGTGGTATTGACGGTTGGAGGGTGCAAGAAGCCATTTTTCGAAGCCATAATCTAGGGTCGGTTGCATTCATTCTCATTGAATCCAGGTCCTCGATCATGTCTACACTTGTCAGTTGGCCATCACCTCGAAGAACGCCGGGTTCCTCGCCATGCCTAGCTTGAGAGTAAACAGTCAGCACCTCAAACTGCCATTTCTTTGGGTTGGTTTCTCCAACGATCCGTGTGATATCCGGAAACAATAAGAACGAAATGACTAGTGGTGCCCAACAATCAGTATACTTATTTTCAACGCACCACCAATCTTTGACGGTAGTACACGTCTCCAAATATACATTGTGTAGGTAATTTAAACCACTTTTGCTGATCTGACAAGTATTTGCTTTTAATCCATTATAATGCCGGTACATGTATATGACTTGGATCAAAAAAATTTCCTTTTCGCTGCTAATAAATTGTGAACTGACGTTGTATAGGTTGACCACATACTGTCATTTTCTATTTTTATACTGAGAATGTTATATTTGAGACGGTTATGTATATTTGTATTATGAAATTATACATTTGCATGGCAATAAAACAACTACTGTATAATGTTTTCTTTGACTTGAAAAGCGTAAGGCTACACATATAACTAAAAAAAAACGAATATCATGTTATTCCCAATTCTCAAGGTTAGATTAGTTTGTTGTGCAAATGAGTCACGTATATAAACTCAATTACATTAAACTTAAAGAATTAAAGAGTGGAATGAAAACGTTAATGTTTTTTTTTTTACTTATTTAAACCTTATCAAGTTTGTAATATATTGCACTAGATGAAATACCGGTGCGACAGGAATGTTTGTCCGCTAGGGACTGTAGTCCAGTCCCCATCACTTACACTAGGTTCTAGATTTCAGTATTGCCAGCTCGATCTTGATTTCATATAAAACCCATATCAGCACCGTAAAGCTAACACATGAAAAGTGTAGTGAGCAAGCTAGCTTTATAGTGCCCTGACACTCAGGGCACCGTCACTTGGTCTAGTTGACATTCGTCCCATCTATTAAGCCCGATGCTCTGATAACCCTAACCTGTGCTAGTCATCTGGGACCCCGGATCTTCCTAGGACTACCATTCCTGTCAAACCGGTGCAACAGTAATGCAAGTTCCCCAGGAACCAAGGTCCGTAGGTCCTCGGTTCCTGGTTATGGTTGTCTGTAGGACTAACATTACTTGGGGATAGTAGTCCTTATGGGACTTAGGTTCCTGGCTCATAACTATAGTAGGTAGGACTTGTATTACTGGCGGAATTTTATTCCTGTTACACCTACAGGTATGACAGTAATGTTACTCCGGCCATTTGAAAATCCTATCCTTACACGGTTAAATGATACAATTATAAATGTATATGAAAATCCTTCTGGTGAACCATATATAAGACAAAAATGTTTGCAACTTCAGCTCGTCTGTTTAGTGGATAGCGTGTAAAACCTTAAGGTAAGTATTCATGAATGGCTTTGTTACATACTTGGGTTCGAGACCTACCATTGACATGACCTCCCCCCCCCCCTTGCATTACTTGGGAGCCTTCGTCCTACGGACATTGAATCCTAGTAACGTATGTCCTAGGACTTCCTGTAGCTGCACAGGGAAGTCTTCCTTACTGATTGAATTTATTGAATTCAAACGTAAAACCGAAAGAAAAATGAAATAAAACAAAATAAATAACAGAACAAAAATGTAGCAAAAAATACTGAAAACAAATTAAAATACAAAATAAGCTAAAAATTGATAACAAATTAACACGGAGTACATACGAAAGTGTAAGAAAAAGGATAGACGGAAACGTTACAAAGACCCAAAGCCGGAGAAGTTTACGTTATTTTAGCGTTGAAATAATTTGCCTTATCCTCGACCAAGGGTTCTAATATCGTTATAAAAAGATAGATAGAAACGTTGAAAGACCCAAAGCCAGAGAAGTTTACGTTATCGTTGAAATAGTTACCTTTTCCTCCGACTGGTGTGAGCTAAAATGGTGTCGTTAGAATACCCGTATCG